TATCACCCACATTCAGTGTAATTTCAATGACTAGGGCACCTACATCAATACACTTAGAGAAACTATGATAATAAAGATGTATATAAATGCAAGGCTTATTTTCTCACTTGCTATAATTGGATTCATTACCAAATTAATTCAAACAAATATTAAATATCACACAGACTCCTCTAAGGTTCTATACAGAACAAAATTAATTATTTAACAACAGAGAGATTGAATCAGTTCTTCTCATGGAATCTATACCTGCCATCACATACAAATCCGTCTGGAGATGACAGCCCTGTCCAGAAAGTGCCTATTTCTAAGTTTATCTTTAATTTGAACATTTTTTAAAGAATTTGGATGATTCTATTCACAGGAAACAGTAAACTAAAGTCAAATTGTCTTAAGAAGTGAAGAGGATCATTAATATCCTTGGTTCAGATAACTGAAAATTAAATGGGTTTGTTATATAAATGATAGCTTGCCCAAAGGCTCACCAGATTAGGAAATATGGATTGCTATAAAGTTAACTTTCGATAGTCTGAATCTTTCTGACTGCAAATTTTCCAGTTCTTCTAAGCAAAGCACAGAAAACTTCCCCAAAACCACTGGCACCATCTTAACTATTTTTTTTTCTTCAAAGGGTAAATATTTTTTGATGTGTTTGTTTAAGGCCTTCAAATGAGAAGATTCCAAGAATCCCATTGCCCTGACCAGGGGTAATCACCCCTTTTCCTGCTATCAAATTGTCACTTTTAAAAGTTAAAACCATGACTTTCATACAAATAAATTCAAACCATGGGTTAAAGATTTACTGAGCTAATTAATGAAGCATAAGTAGGAAGGTAAAGCTAATTTAAAAAACCAAGATGTTGACTATAGGAAATAAAACACACAATGTAGAGAACTATCAAAAACAGGCAATGAAAATCTAGTATTTTTGGTTCATATGTAAATATTGACAGATACATTCCAATAGTGCACCAGGAAAACATATGAAGTGATGCTGTCAGATGAGGGAAGAGGTTTTTAACTGAACATATATAGAGACAGATATAGATATATTTTATCTATCATTACATGTTTTTTGTGATCCAGTTCTCCATCACAAAGTGTTATGCTGGAGGACAGCAAGAAAAGAGATAATCAGAGAAATATTTTTATAAACTTTTCATGAAATTACTTTTCTTTAAGTTATGCCTGGGTACTATAACATGGGATATGCCATTTCACTTATAAAATCTCCCAAAATATTCTTTTAAGAATCTGAAACTTATTTCAATGTATACACTGAACCTTGGGGACTGCAACTATGGGAAGATTTATTCAGATGTTAAACAAACTACATGCTTTTTATTTAGGTTAATTTGATTTTAAAATGCACAGATTTTTCTTTAAATTGAAGTAACATTGGTTTATGATATAATATACATTTCAGGCATACAGCTTTATAAATAATCATCTATATATACTACATTAGGTCACTAAAAACCTAGTTTCCATCTTTCGCTATACAGTTGACCATTTTTAATCCAATTTATCTTCTCCCCTTTGTCCTTCCCTTTTGTAACCACTATTTTGTTCTTCTAATATGAGAGTTTGTGTTTGCTTTGTTTGTTGTGTTACTTTGTCTTCCACACATGAATGACATTATATGTTTTTTGTCTTTCGCTTAGTATAATTTATTTCGCTTAGTATAATAGCCTCTAGGCTATGTCATTGCAAATGACAGGATTTCACCATCTTTCAGACATAAGCAGTATTCCACAGTGTAGGTATACCATATTCTCTTACTCAATAATCCACAGATGTGCACTTATGTTGTTTTCAATTCAAGACTACTGTGAATGCTTTGAATATGGGGGTACATGTAAGTCTTCAAATTAGTGTTTTCTTATTCTTTGGATAAATGCCTAGAGTGTGATAACTGAATCATATGGAATTTCTATTTTAGCTTTCTGAGACTCCTTCATACTCTTTTCCATAATAACCGCACCAATTTATATTTCCAAAAATAGTTCACTGGGGTTCCCTTCTCCCACATCCTCATGAACACTTGTTGTTTCTTTTATTTTGACAATAGGCATTCTAACAGGTATGAAGTCATTTCTAATTGTTGTTTTGATTTGCAGTCCTCTAATGATAATAGATGATGAACATCGTTTTGTGTGCCTACTGGCCATCTGTATCTCTTCATTTTTTCAAAATATTTATTTATTTATGCATATAAGAACTGAGATACAGGTCAGAGGTGTGTTGGGGGGTGGGTGAGAGGATTCACCAGAGACAGAGTGGGGAGCAGAACAGGCAGACTGATGAAACACTGCTGAGGGGAGCAGCGGGCAAGACAGGAGAGGTTTGCTGCGCCATGTGGGTAGCTCCCTGGCCAGCCAGGGATCAAACTCATGCTGCGGACGCTGTGTGGATAGCTTCACAGTGCTGTGCTTAACCTCTTGCACCACTAAGAAATCCCTGTATCTCTTCTTCAGAGAAGTGTTAATTCAGATCCTTTGACCATTTTTTAATTGGGTTGTTTTTATTGTCCTTGAATTGCACGAGTCCTTTATATATTTTGGATATTAACCCCCTGTCAGATGAATAAGTACAAATATTGTTTTCCACTCAGTAGGTTATCTTTTCATATAGATGACAGTTATTTTTAGTTTGATGTACTCCTACTTGTTAATTTTTGCTTTTGTTTTCTTTGCCATTGGAGTTGAGTTCCCAAAGACATCTCATAGGCCATTGTTATAGAGCTTATCACCATGATTCCTTCTATGTATGAAAATGTACAGATCTTACGTATATAGTTACATAAATTTGACAAATGTCTATTCATGTAAACTATACTCTGATCAAAAAACAGGTCATTTCTATCAACCCAGAAATTTCTCTTGGTCTGCTGTATAAACTCTGCCCCTTGTGGCAACCATTAATTTGATTTCTAGCACCTTAACTTCATTGATTCTTACATTTTATATAAATGAAATCACTACTCTTTCAACATGCCTTTAAAATACATCCATTTTTCAGTATGTCAGTGGTCTGTTAATTTTTACTGCTACATGTTATTCTATTAACTACCTATAACAAAATTCATCTATTTTTCCATTGGTATATATTTGGGTTACTTCCAATATTGAGCTATTATAAATAAAGTTGATTTAAGTGGTTATGCATAAACTTTCAATGTCAGATATTTTTGTTATTCTCATACAAATACTAAGGAGTGGAATAATTGGGTCCTAGAGTAGTTCTATGGTTCATTTCTAAAGAATTGCCAAAGCACTTTTCAAATTTTAGACTCCCTTGAGTTACATTTGCTTTACATTCTTGCAAAATTTTTTTACTGTATTTTCAATTTTAGTCAACAAATGAGTGCTTATTATTATCTCATTGTGGTTCCTATTTGCATTTCCCCATTAGGAATTGTTTGTATATGACTGTAGATCATTTAAATTTTTTCTTAAGAGGATTTATTTAAATATGGTGTCTTTTATAAGATTGTTTGTATTATCATTATTGATTTGTAGGATTACTTTCTATATTCTGGATATGAATCTCTAGTCAGATACTTTCTTCTAGTCTGTGACTTATCTATTCATTTTAACAATGACTTGCTTTACTGAAGTCTTAAAGCCACAGGATATCTCTATGTGAAAAATTAGAAGTATCAGTTTTCTAACACATAAATATATCTATAATTTCAAAGCCTGGTGAAATAGAAAAAAAAAATAGCTCCTTTTTAATGGTGTTTAGAATGAGGGAAGATTTGAAAGGGAATATTTAAAGTCTTGGGAATAAGTAAAGTTGAGTGTAAGAATGAGGACCACAAATGAAAGGCTCTGCGACTTTAGCTTCAAAGTAAGGAGGAGAAGATAATAATATATGAGGTAGGAACAGGATGGCCAGACAGCAATGTTCTACTGAATGAAAATTTACTGTTGGCAGTGAGGAAAATAGAGGGAAAAGCACTAGTTAAGAGCCCTCTCCAGAGGGAAAGTGGAACCTTTAGGTCAGTAAAGCTAGCTCTCCCAGACCCTCTGTTCTTTTTCCTACTATCTGCAGTATGAGATGTGGATAAAGTTGTATCTCAAAATAAATAGAGGTAGCAAGGCATTAAACATCAAAAGCAGTCAGATTTATCCATAGTTTAATTCCGTATCAGTTAAGTAGAGACAAAAAGAGGTGGCTTTTCACCCCAGGAAGGTGATGAAAGTTAAAACCCAGAGTTAGATTAAAAATCCCATTCCACATATATTCTTTTGGAACAATTTAAAGTACTTATCACTGAAGTAAGCATGGTGGGCTGACACAAGAGTAATATGAGAACTAGGCAGTTTCTACAAAAAGTGAAAATACCATTTGGGGTGTCAAGAGCCTTAAATGTATAACCTAATAGCATAATAAAGGGAGACAAACAACTATCAAAGGCCAAAACCAATCTTAAGGACAATGAGTTTTCAAAAAAGGGAATCACTGACAGACATGAATAAGCAGCCAGCAGCTTGAGACAGGCTACTCATCCATTGATATTCATTCTGAAAAGGAAAAAAAATGATTTGTCCTTCACAACATTTAGGTTAAAGTCTGAATTTTATAACTATTATTTAAACATACACTCTTTGTTTCTTTTAATAAGCTACAATTTTTTTGGGCACCTGATATGTGAAGGAAGGTATTTTCAGTATAGTATCTCATTTAATTCTCACAATTATCTTTATAAGCTAAAGTTCAACAAAGTTAGATAATTTCCTTTGATGGTATACAGCTGCAAATTAAAATTCAGAGAATTAAAGTAATGCCTCCAAGTGATTAAACAGCAAATGACAATTAAATGCAATGTGTTATCCTGGATTGCATCCTAGATCAGGGAAATATCTATAAAGGCCATTATTAGGATGATTCAATATGACTAAAGTTCTATTTATATATAATATTATATTTCCTGAATTTGTACTAAAGTTATATAAAGAAACATCTTTATTTATGAAAAATATATTCAAAATACTTACTGGTAAAGGGACTCTATGTTGTGAAATCTGTTTCTCTAAAGGGCACAGGTTGGCTTTTGTCAATATGTCCAGAGTAGGCCTTTTCTAGTAAGAGTCACTGTGTCAGGGGGACCTAAGGTTAAAAGAGAAACTGTTGTCATTACATAAAGAATGCAGATTACTTATGTTCAGGGATAGTTTCAGAAACAAGCTCTTTATCAAAGAAACATAGCTTAAGGCAGGGCATACATCCAAGGGAAAGTTTTGTCAAATGAAGTAATCCCTTTGTCATGAGAAGTCTCTCCTTTTCTCTCCTTGGTGACTCAGGTCCTTTAACTAGGGATTTATACCACTTTTCTCCTGACTAATGGCAGTATCTGCATAATTGTTGTAGCTCCCCACCTCCTGTGCATGTTATCAAATTGATCTTTCTTTTCTAAACTGTCTAATGCTGTTTTGTTTACTTATCTACTTCAAGTAGAACCCAGAGGGATGAGAGATTTTCCTCTGTGCTCTGGCAATGTCAACAACTTACAAGCAACAACTGGTTTAGGAAATAACAATATTAATTATTAGATATACAGTATTATATAGACATTATGTATATGTGTATGTATATATACATTCTCAAAATGGTATTAACTGCTGAATTAATAATCTTCATAAAGAATATATGGGAATCATCTTCATATCCCCATAAATATCCTGTATTTTAAAATTATTTCAAAATTAAAACTTAAAAAACTTATAAGTATTAAACAATATCAGTGGATCAGTATTGCCATACATTTCATTTTAGTGTCTGTAAAGGTTGTGCTCAGGGCTGAGTCTTGCATAATGTATCAGTAAAATTTGTAACATTACCGTACAATTCAAAAGAAACACTATACACTATAAATAAGATTTCCAATCAAATCATTTATAATCTTGCTTAGTGTTTTTAATATATTAAATATTAAATAATATTCAAATGTTCTTCACATAATATCCATTTTTTAATCATTTTAATAGAGACAGCCTCCAGATCTTTGAAGTCTCCATTAATACTTTACATGCATATGAAATAGATTTCCTGCCTATAGCTGTATTCCTTGCTCTCACATTACCAAGAAGGATATGCTACTAATTACAGATCAAATAAATATTTCTTTTATGGTTCCTTTTCCCCCAAAGTTATGTTTTATCACTTAAAAGGGAAATATGTAAAATGAGCAATGTTATAAAATATAATATTCACACAAAAACTTTCCTTTTCAAATAAGGTGAGTTACTGTAGATCTAGTAAAGGTTTTGCCCTGAAAACAAAGATTACCCACAGGATAATGCTTCTCTTTTTCAGGAATGGCCTTTATTTCTTCTTCCTAATATCAGTTGAGGATGGCAATGTTTATGTCTCTTCTGCTTTCATACCAAGCAATAGTTGAACATATACAGAAGTTCATAAATAGTCAAAATATTTCTGAGTTTAAACGTAGGTTTTTTTAATGTGTAAATTGGAGAATATTTTAATTTTGTTAATTCAGTGTCCAACTTGATTCTGCATGTTTTAACATAAAAAAATCATGACAGCTTATATGTAAATAACACATGAATTAAATATTGTGATTTAGTACTCATTACAAAGTTGGCTATAACCAACTCTAAGGGATAGAGAAAATTTATTTGTGATATGTACCTTACTAGTTATGTGACTTTAGCCAAGTTACTTAACTTCTCCTAACTTCTGTTTCCTAATAAATGAAATAGGAATGGCATAATACATACTAGAATAACTATGAATATTATCATCATTGTTTTTCTTCCTCTCAGGTAAAGTATACAGTTGTGCATATGGTCAGAAATGAGGGACATTCACCAATTCTAAAATCATTGATACTTCAGGAGTAAAAAGGAAATTTCCTCCTATCCCTATGGATCCTTTTCAGGATAGTTGAGCAGTCAAATTAACATTAAACAGATTGGTAGGAAAATGAATAAATTACATTACTTATATATGGAGAATCTATATGATTGTAAGTTCACAGTCAATGGCACTGAACAATGGTATTTATTCTCAGCTTAAAAAAAAAATGGAATAGAGGACTGGAGCTCCAAAGAGAGAGGAGGGGATGAAAAAGAAAAATGACCAGAAGCTCTGTAACTACATCTTTCTTTGCCCCGTGATAGATTGCAAATAGATTTCTTCTGTAGACAGGTCATAACCTGTTGGCGCCTTGCCTCATGGCATCAGGATACTTCCCCCTTCCGGGATTAGCTGTGCTCCTTCCGGTCCAGTGCGCATGACGACCTCCGGCGCACCAAATAAGGTCATGTATGTAATCATTGGCTAGGCACTGTTGGCCTGCTTCTTCCGCTTTTCCCCAGCTATAAAGCCCCACTGAAACCAAAAATAAATGAGACCTGCGATAGCTGAACCAAGAGTGTACGTGTCTCCCTCCGTGGTGTACCCCTGTTCTTCAGGTCGCTGCTCTCCCCTCGAGAACCTCGTTGACCAGTCCGCGGGCTCAGGCATGTAGACAGGTCATAACCTAAAATCTGGATAACACTTCCAATTTTTAAGTTCTAGAGAGTTGAGGTAGAGTTAATCGTAAAGCATGTTATTTAACAAATTGTGAGTTGTTCCATTTTCTTCTTCAAGGAAGCCACAGCTTAGTAAACATTTATTATAGAGAATAAAAGTTTTATTTGACAGAAAAGCATCAGAGACCCTACAGGCACAAATGAAATATAACTCTGTTGATATCTGTAAATAATAACTTACAAATGATGACCCTGGAGAGTTTTATAATATTTTGTCTGTGTACAGTGCTGTTTCTTGAAATATCTCAGTGGACTTTATTATGAATCATAATTATAATCAAGCTTCAAACATCCCTGAGTTAGTTGTTTGTTTTGATTTTTCTTTTTTACTATTGCAGGTAATGATTGGAATATTAATTTTTCAAGGTCATTCAAGGAGTCAAAGGCTGAAATAGGACTAGAATAAATGTGTCTGACTCAAGTCATCTGATAAATATCACCATGAGTTCACAAAGGGTTTGGTAAAAGAACATTAAAGTGTCAGAAGAAATCATGATTGAAAATAGAAGTATACCACAGAACGATCAAAGAAAGCAAATTCAAACCTTTTAATTTGTGAAGTTTAAGAATATTCCTACCTCAAAAAAAAAAGAATATCCCTACTTCTCCACATACATTCCAGTTGCTTAATAATTCAAAATAATAAGGAAATTGCAAGAAAAAAACCTAAATAGAATTTCTCCAGAATATGATATTTTAACTGGAATATCAGTGAAACCAAGATAGGTTTTTCTTTCTGTAATCAAGAAATAGTATAGGAGATATTATTTTACACAGAGCCAAGTAAATATACAAACTAAAAGTAGTTTTTGTCAAATTTGGAATGGTATAGTCATTAAATTTTAAAATTAAATTAAAGATAAAAGATCAAAATTTTTAAAATTCACTTGCACAAAGCAATATTTATATTCATACCTTTAAAACAATTTTAATTGATTTTCATAATTTAAGAAAAATAAGTCGAGTTTCTCCCATCCAAGAAATAAGATATCCTTTAATAAATGTAAGATAACTTATTTATTATATACTCAATCTGTACTTTTCATATGTATTCATTCACACAAACACACACATATATACATATGTGTATATACATGTATATATGCATATGTACATATATATACATGTGTATATGTTCATATGTATGTATATATGTGTATGTGTCCATATACAGGAAAGGACCAGTGAAATAAAAATAAACTGATAAGTAAAAGTTGCATAAACTTCCATTTTTCTTTTACCTTTACCCATGTTTTTAAATACATAGCTACATGGCATAAATGCATTTCTTTAGTCAAATCTCATCCAATTAAAGAATAGAAACATAATTTTACCACACTTGTTCATCTAATAGTAACATAAAAATCAATACATCTAAAAGTCAACAAAAAAATTCAGAACAAAATTTTACTTTTAATACACTCTATGTATTTCATGAAATTTAGAAAACCATCCTTTAATACATTACCAAGACAGGCATAATTAGTAGGGCTTATAGACTATTTTTCCTCTAATTTTCTCAAAATATGATTTTTGTCTAATTTCTGTTAGATGGGGTAGAATTAAGTTGAACTCCAAGATTATAACTTTCTCCACTCTAAATAATAAACTGTTTTTTTTTTTTCCTACACAGACGTTTTTAAACGTTATAGGTATCAACAAATTACCAGTTAGATATTTTTCCCAGATCATATCCCTAATTTTGTTTTCTATCTCATTTTGGCTTATGAAATGAGTGTCAGATAATCAAAGTTAATAAGAATAGAGGATTTCCTGAGACAAATTCGGTAAGTATAATGTCTTAAAAAAAATAATGATTTGAAAGAATTCTCTGAAAAAGGAAATTTTTTGTACATGAAATCTTTTGATCCTAGTCAATTTTCAATCAGTTCAGTTCTTCTTGACACTTTGATGGACAAATGTCAAACCATTTTGTAGTTTTCTATAAAGCCCATTGTACCCACACAGAATAGTTTGTATTAACCATTCCATTCACAAACTGCTAGTGATCCAACAGTCCAAGCTACACAAGTAAAGCCAAGAAGAAAACATATTTTAGTCACCAGTAAACACAATAATGGTGGGTAACATTTATAGAGCCATTTCCTAATAAGAGAGACTACACTAAGTTTTACATGTCTTTGGTGGTGGCATGTTATATAGTTGTTAAGACACAGCTTCAAAACGAAAACAAAAACAAAACATAGCCTGTCTGTTTTTAATAAACTTGATCCTGTCATGCTTACATGCTTACATTAATGTTCAAATAATTCCTCAAATTGCCTAAGAAGCTTCTCTAGAGCTGCAAATAAATATACTTGCTATGGTTTTGCTTTCGTTGCGTTTTTTTTTTTTCTTTTTCTAACTACACACCATAACTATACTTCATGATTAGTTCTTGAAAATATTTTTAAAAAACTACAAAAGTTTGTTTAATGTAGTTGAAAGAATTCCAAGAGGGTCTCCATGATTAAAATTACAACCCTCCAGTGTACATGTACTGTTAACCCACTCCCTCCAGTGTGGATGAGTCTTGTAAATAGGAAAGCATAGGACAGGACACAACTCCTT